TTCAAATTTTGGTAATGAGTATTGTAAGTAATGTAGTTATTTCACACTTTACTAGGTAATGAGTGGTCTTTATTAATAAAATTATTTCATTTTTTTAGATAGCATTAGATAGATTAGATAGCATGATAAAACAACTTGTTAAGGGAGCATTGGGTAATAGAATAGACTAATAAACACAGAAAATAACTGTAAAGCCGGTTTTAAATCCGGAATAGTCGGGTAAGCACATTTGTAACCAGTTATTTTTTGGTCATCGTCAAACAATAACCCAAAAAGAAAGTACTTACACTTTGCTCCAATATTATTTGCCTACTTACCAGGTAAGTAAAGATTTTGCTGGGGATAGCATCACATATTACAAACAATATATATGAAATTCTGCTGTGATATACCTATTGGTCGAAAGATTGGCGTTTCGTTGACCGATCATTGATTTTAAAATATTTGGCCAATAAATTTATATTCATACATAGCGATACTGATATTTTAAGTGAATTTTAAATATTTAAGCATTTTTCAGAAACGTACTTTGTATAGGAAGTATTGAAAATTTCATACCGATCATTACGAAAATTACCAATGTTCACCCTTATTATGTATGTCGAAGTCACGTTGATTTTCTCTCAAATTTTCAAAATGGTATTACATACATATTTCGATTTTCTATAGAAATATAACTATATTAAAATCTATTACTAAAAATGGTATTATGTATTTCGTATTTTAATGGAAAATTCGAAAGAAAGTGTCGATGTGTATTTTACTGGTGACAAAAACATTCAAAGCTATTGACATCAGTTCCCGTAGCTGAAATTTGCTGAAATTTGGAAGTTATGAGTACACCAGAGAAACATATAATATAATGTTCGAATATTCGAAGATAAGTTAAAAAATTCGAAATAAAGTTCAAACAATTTTTTATGGTTTTAAAATACTCTCTGAATCACAAAAAACTAACTACGAAAATCTGAATATTCAAACATATTGAGTCTACTTAAATCTGTTCCTGTAGTCCAAATTGACTAAAATTTAATAATTATGAGTATGCTGGCTATATAGTATTGTGTTCGAAAATTCGAAATTAAATTCGAAACATGATTAGTGGTTTTAAAATAATCTTTGAATGATAAAAAATACAAAAATTTCGAAAATTCGAACTTATGTTCGAAAATGATTTAAGTCTATTAAAACTAGTTCTTGTAGTCTAAATGGACTGACGAAGGCATTACAATATTATGTTCGATTATCCGAAATTAAGCTCAAAAGATTTTAAAATAATCTATGGACCAATATTAACCATTATTTAATTTCGAACTTTTGTTCGAAATACAATAAAATATTGTTTGAAAATAATTTAAGCTATTAAAATAATCTCTAGTCATAAAAAACTATTAATGGTTCTTATAAATTCAATGTGCTAATATATAATGGTCAAAAAACTCATTGATTTTTGATATGAAAATGTCATACATTTTCCACTGTGGAGCGATTTGGATTTTTATCATAAACGAACTCAAAATCGTCTCCTATGCCTAATTTTATTGCATTGACTTTCATGTGTTAAATAAATTTTATTAATTATATTATCCATTGTCCTTCCACGAATATGATGTTTCCGAAGCATCCTACCACACTATCATTATACCATCAACTGATTTCACACTTGCTTTATGATTTTTTTAATTGACAAGCGGCATTTTGTCTACGCCACACAAATCTTCGACTTTCTGATCCGAAAATGTTGTACTTACTTCCATCTGTAAAAAATATAGATTTCCAGTTGTATTCCGCATTGTTTGCGTAATATTGGAATACTCCAATCGGTCTTCACATTCATTACTGAAATAAACACTTTCTTAGGTAGAACTCATGCCTTATATTGGTTCAGATGATGAAAATTTTGTATGCTTTGTGCATTTACAGATACATTTTAAAATCTTGTACAATTCTTAGCTATTTCAATGAAACTAACTTCTAAATCATGTCTCATATCCGTTAACATTTTCGCTCTATCTGAAAATCAATACATTTCCCGTAGCGCTTATATGTAGACGTTTCAATTTTCCCGGTTAGTGGCCTAAATATAATTTGAGAATATTTTGCTAAAAAGTTTCTTCATTACTCATTTAAATTATTACTTCTTTGATCATTTTAATGCACCGTTATATTTTAGAGCTGTATTCTTTAACTGTTTTTCTTCTGTACGGACATTTTTTGAGTTTGATTATAAAGATGTTGCATTTAAAACATTATCTACAAAAATATAGAGTATTTTTTTTTAATTTTTGCATTTAGAATATATTATAGGACAGCAGTATCTATCATAAGAAACAAATTTTTTTGTAAATCGGACAAATATATTAGAAAATATTACAAAACAATTTTTTAAATACATGCTGTACGGACAATTGTTTGAGTCAGTGTACATATATTTCTTTATTTCGTGTGATAAAAGTAATATAATGAAATAACTCCCCAAAAATATTTCTAGATATATTTCATATTTGAATTTTGAGGAACTATTTCATAATGAAACAACTCCCCATTTTAAATGTGAAACAATTCCCTAAAAAGCGAATTAAATCCCCAAATTTCGTTGATTTTGCTTTCTGAACAAATTTTTAGGGAGATATTTCATTTTTGTTTTGGGGAGTTATTTCGTGGAGAGTTATGTCGTGCAATGTCTGTCTATTCATAATTTCAGATAGTATCACAGGTCATATTTATGGTCAGAATTAGAAAAAAATTGGTGGTCACATTCCACATATTTAAAGTAATATTCCCACAAAATTTTATTAAAATCAAACTTTATCTTTAAATATTTTGTAACAATTTTAAAATTTTTAAAAGAGTAAAAACACTATAAAGGAGTTCAGTGTTTACTGCAAATGGTCTTGTAAAAGAGCAAATGCAAAATCTCGGCGTCATGAAATAAAATCATAGTTTTAGAAATTAAACAAATATGTAATATATGACAAAATCTTTATTTATGAACAAAACTCAATGAAATTTTCAACGCTTGTTAAATTTGTCATTTCAAATAAGAAAATGCAAAAATTAAAGGGTCAAAGGGCATCCCGCAATTCCCAAAAATAGGAATGAAAATCCCAAAAATGGGATTTTTTACTTTTTTGCCCATAGGGTCCACATTTCTTTCAGGGCTGGGAAAATACTTTTGGAGTAAATAGAAAACATATTGAGGTTTCCAAAACTGCTTTCAGTTTTCTGATCCCAGCTTTGGGATTTTAGAACATGTCGCCCAAAGTTGAAGTTTTGATAAAAAATATGTCATATTCGGAAGGACGCAGTGGCAACATTTTCAAAAAATAGGAAAAGTTTTTTACGCCAAAGCGTTCTGCGTAAAGATACCTTTTAGAAAACTATAAAATTGTTATATGTTCTTAAAAAAAATTTTATTTTATTAATAAAAGAGTTAAGACACATTTTTGGCAAAAAACGGCAAAAATCTAAAATTTTTTGAATTTTTAAATTAAAAAACGTATATTTTTGGATCTGTAAATGATATTGATCTGAAATTTTTTGTATATTATTGGAAATTTTGTTGTCTAACTAACAAGAAAAAATTGAGTCCATTTGGTCCAAAATTACGCCCGGTATTCAAAAAAAAATGCCTATAACTCGGATATTATAAGAGATAAGTAGTATGTTTTTTCAAGATCTCGTCGAGTGCTTTCACAAAATATAAAAATCTTTGTATTTGGGTGAAAAACAAAAAATGGCACGAGTTTAAACATTTTACATGTCGTAGGTACCCTACTTTGAGCCGCCACAGCGCCGTCCCTGGGGCATCTGCAGGATTCATCTTCAAAACTTAAACTCGAATACTCCTTGGCTACGCTCACGCCAAATTTTATACCGATCGGATCAGCCGTTTAGAAATACCAGATTTATTTCCATAAAATTTCCATTCTGCCCCACTGTGGAGTGCAAGACGATTTTGACTTACCGAATTTCTTTTCGCCTGTTTTGGATTTGGTTCCAATTTTGAAGTCCTAGAGCTGGACTTACGTTTTGTATAAGTGACATAACGGTCCATTCCCGTTTGAATCTTTTCCGTTTTAAGCGAGCTCAATGTATTTGGATTGTTTTTTGGTATGGCACCAGTATTCTTTGACATTGGGCTTGAGTGACCTTCCTTATCATTAATGGTTTTTATAGTGTTAATATTGTTATTGATAATATTTGTGATATTGTTCACATTATCATTACTATTTTCATCAACCATTGTATCAGTTGTTTGTTTTTCTATTTTTTCTTTTGCGTTGTCTTCCACACAATTTTCTTGTTTTGGCACACTTGAGAGAGGAGATCTCTCGTTTGTTGTTGTTTTTGTATCTGTTGGTTGTTAATTTATTTTTTCTTTTGCGCTATTATCTACACAATTGTTTTGTTTTGGCGCACTTGAAAGAGGAGATCTCTCGTTTGTTGTTGAATCATAATTATTGTTGTTGTTGTATGGAGAGCTCATAACAAAGTATGCATTTTTTCCATTGCTACTGAGCCTACTTTCACTTATTGGAGAGTTAGAGAAACTCATGCACAATAACACAAACACTACAATTTATTTAAGGTTTTTTTGTTATTATTTTTTTTTTTTTTGTTTTTTATACTTTTTGTTTTGCTACAATTTGTTATTGTTAACAATTGCATTAACAAAAACGACAATTTAATTGATTTAAATGTATTTTTAATAATAAAAATATATATATAGGTATGTATTTAATTAGCGTCCATTCGCTGTTACTTATATTTTTTTATGATTAAAATTATTAGTAATCTTATAGATTTTTTTATAGATTAAGATTATTAGTAAGACCTTATTAGACTACTTCTGTGTAATCCAGACGATATGTCGTTGTCATTGAAAAGTATGTTGTTAAGTAAGTAATTACAATTGGAAACCATTACCTAGTTTTTGCTAGGGGTATGGTACATAAATAAACCAACATAAAAATTATATACAATTATAATAAACTTACTTGTGTTGATTTTGTATCATAAACAAAATCATAGGTAAAAGCCTTATCTAGTCCAATAATTATTTGCGGCTCATTAGGCACAACACTTGTACATATTCGACACATATCAATAATCTCTCTTGAGTTTTGTGGTCGGATCCTAAAAATATACAAAGAAATTATGTTGTTATATCAGTAATGGGAAAACACATACTAATGCGTACTATATGTGTGGTCGAGAGCTTAATAGCCCAGGAAAAAAGGATATTGCTGCGGAATTTTAGATAGTTAGTAAGGGATTAAAAGTCACCGAAAATATCGTGTGCGCTAAGCAAGATATTGCAGGTCAAAGGTTACAAAAATCTGTTTTTAGCTAATATCTCGCTTATTATGCATCGTACGCATTTTGATGTTGTTATAATTTCTATAGAAATTGAATTTCCTACATTTTCGTTGAGGAATATTTTCACATAAAATTAGTTGTTTTCGAGCTATAATGCATTATTTTTTCATTGCAATGACATTTTCAAGTCTTAATATTTTTAACTCCAATACAGATAATGTCGCATTTTTATACCATACACCACTTTAGTGGGGTTTGTGCTGCTGTTTGTAACGCAAAATAATATTGGTCCTATATCCACCTTAAAGTATACCAATGGGCTTAGAATCATTACTGAGTCGATTTAGCTATGTCCGTCCATGTAAATCTTGTAATCAAACCACAGGTCGCAATTCTGAACATAATTCAATTAAATGTGATACATGATATTCTATTGTCCCAGGTACGAAGCCTATTGAAAATGGTTAAGATCGGTCCATTATTTCACCTAGCCACCATACAACTGAACCCCTGAATAGGGGCTGTAATCAAACTACAGGTCGCAATTTTGATAATTCAATGAAATTTGGCACATGATCTTCTATGGTACCGGAGACGAAGCCTATTGAAAATGCTTAACATCGGTCCATTATTTCACCTAGCCCCCACACAACTGAACCCCTGAATAGGGCTTGTAAACCTTGTAATCAAACTACAGGTCGCAATTTTAAAGATAATTCAATGAAATTTGGCATTCTATGGTACCGGAGACGAAGCCTATTGAAAATAGTTAACATCGGTCCATTATTTCACCTAGCCCCCATACAACTGAACCCGACGAAAAGGGCTTTTAAGTTCATAATTATGTTTAATATTATCGTATCTCGACAAAAAGCTGCAAAACCAAGTTCTATACTAGCCTTTATGACTCTCATGAATTTTATAATTATAAATTTCAAGTTCATAATTATGTTTAATATAATCGTATCTCGACAAAAAGCTGCAAAATCAAGTTCTATACTAGCCTTTATGACTAGGGTCTCATTTGACCATAGCCCCTACACAAAGCCTTTCAAAATTTGACTTAAATGTCCGCAATTTCATTCAACAATATATGGCTTAAGTATATCTGAGACAAGGTACAATTAAACTTAAATGCTTTATTATGAAAACTAAATATAAAATGTGATTTTTGTAACAGGTGTAGGGTATTATATCATATTAATTTCTTACTTGTTTCTTTCTAATTTTAGCTAAAATGCATAGTAAATTTCTGTTTCATTCCTTATCACAGCATCACTCTCTGGCCCATATTACAATGTCCGTCTATCCGAAATTTCCGATGTGGTCACAATTATGAATATTACTAGATTTGTGTACGTTGCCCGGAATTTTAAGTGGTCCCATATAGGGTATACTATAAAATCTGCTCTAGGTCCATAGATCAATTTATGCAAATTATCAGAGACTTTTCGTTTTACCGCTGATATTTTCCAACTTTCAGAAATATAAAAGTTTCGTTGACTTAAAAAAAATTCCATAAGATTCACGAAATAAAATTCTTTCCTTGTGTAAAGCTACAAATGAAATTTCTTGGAATTTCAACAATATTTATAAAAGGTACAAAAAAGTACCAAAAGTACCAACCTACCGTCTTTTTCTATTAAATTTCCCCAATTTATGTTGTTTAATAAGTTTTGCAGCATTTAATAAATTGAGTCCTTAGAACATTTATTAAGTAAAATCACGAATGTGCCCTTGACCCCCTTTTTCATCTTTAATTATGTTTTGCGAAAACATTTTAGAAAAACATACTTGACTGATGACGGAAAAATATTTATAAAAAAATTAAATACAGTGGTTTCCCGGTTTAACGAAAGATATAATGTCAGGCCCATTCGTAAAAACGAAAAATTCGTTAAATCGAATAACAACTTTTCTATGATTTAATGGTAAAAATAGGGTAATGGAAGGAAGGAAGTCAATTTTTTTAATCTTTTTGAAGTTTTTGACAATTTCCTTGCATTTTTATAAATTTAGAATCAAAAGAAAATTAAAGATTTTATGAAAAATTTGATTAAAATTATGTAAAAAACTATATTTTTTGTTTAATGAAGGTAAAGTTGTTTCATTACGAAAATGAATTATTTTCTTATAAAAAAACAACTTAGGGATTTGATCCCCATTTTAATCGATGTGAATTCTAAGTATTTTAGGGCAATTTTCATTACAAACAATTCCATTTCTTACTTTATTAGTAAAATAATCATAATATTCCCTTAAATAAAGAATTTTATATTAAAATGTATGTCTACTTAATAAATCTTATTTATATTTCCTAAAATAATTGTTTAAATGTTATTTTCATTTCTATTCCTGGATTTTTGTATTTGTAAATTTTGTACCCATTGAATTGGGTATTGAACTTATATAAAATCTTAATATGTTATTGCTTTTGGTTAATAATGAAGTTTAGTGATATCTCCGTATTATTTTTTATAGAAAATTTTTTGGAAATTCGTTATATCGAGTACAAAATTTACTCATTCATTCGTAATATAAGGTACTCAATGGAAACAATTTGCCCGTTCGTTAAATCGCGAATTCGCTAAACTGAATATTCGTTAAATCGGGAAACCAGTGTACTACTTTAAAAGTACAAACAAGTACCAAAAGAACACATAAGTGTCCCCTTTTGGCCATTTAGTTAGCGTGCGTTTTGAAATTTTCATTTTTCTAAGACTATAAATATTTTGGCTTTTGAAAAGAGAAAATCAGCCTTATAGTACCGAAGATTTTTCGCCCTTTGTTATATTTTGTGTCCCCTTCTGGTACAACTTTCGCAATGGAACTTTGTTAATGCATATTTTAGGCACTTTAAAAAGCTTAATCGAAAATGTTTTTCTTAAGTTAGACAATAATCAGTACCCTTTTAGAACACGTAGTTACCCTGTTTTACTTATTTAGTTGCCTAAAAATGTGAATTTTTTGAGTACTTTGTTCCTTCGAAATATAACTATTAAAGACTATATGTCTATAGCACATTTTATACAGAAAATACAGAATTCCAATTTTTATCCGTTTCTTAATAAAAAAAACAAAGTCTATGTTGGCTTTAGAAGAAAAAAAAATCAGTCTTAAAGCACAAAAGTACTTATTTTGCCAGTTTTTCGCATTTTTTTGCTCAAAAGAAAGCTTATACGATTTCTTTTATAGTCCTATAATGGGATGCGCGTGAGACATCTATAAACTATTTTTTAACTCAACATTAAGATTTTTTCAATATTTTGCACTACATTTTTCCAAAGACCTTTTTTAAGAGCTTTGTGGTCACTTAGTGGAGGGCATATGTGAAAAAAATAATATTTCAACTCAAAAACTTTTTGAGTTAAAATATTTTTTTTTATGGATATACCACTCCCACTAAGTAAGCACAAGTTCTTAAAAGAAATGAGCTTTCTTCTTAGCAAAAAAAAAAAATACAACAAAAACTACCATTTTGAAAAAAATAGTGGAAAATTAAATGCCAAATATTGAAAAAAATTAGGGACTCAAAATAATTTTTATTTGGAGTTTAATACTGTACAACATTTTACAAATAAAGTTGTCTTGGCGATGTTATAATGTCTCAAAAAGGGCCAAAAATGGAGTTTTCTCAAATTTCAGGACACGATATCTCAAATCCCTGATATGATGGAGATCAGATTCGCATTCAGCGCTGCTCAATCCTTTAGAATCGTCTTACTTGGTCTCAAGCTTTCGACTTTTTTTTTTCAAATTTTGTCGGCCTGTGTTACTTTTGGTCCCTGATATAAAACGTTAATTTCCCCTACCGTTTTCATCAGTGCGTATGAGTAACATTTATAAAAAATAACAAGTATACTCAGAAAGAATGATATCAGTACCTCGTTTCTGTAATTTTCTCGAATCTAGAAAAAACTTAAAATATAATAGTCTTCCAGTTTTTAACAGTGTGACTCTGATTATTTTTAAACTGTATTCATTAAAATTTAATGAGAAATTTTTAACTTTCTTGTATTCACCCTGTTTTACACAAGATGATCATGAATTTTTCGACAGATTTTCTCCATGCGAGAATTACAGGAACGGGGCACAGGGAAACCTAAAAATACAAAAACAAGTCTTCGATACCCTCCACCACCATCAATGGTGATAGAGGGTTTATATAAGTTTGTCATTCCGTGTGTAACACCAAGAAATATTAATCTGAGACCCAACAAATATATATGCAGTGTTGCCAATTTAGCACTTTTAGTGCTAGATTTAGCACTTTTTAAACTCATTTAGCACCCAAAAATGTAATCTAGCACCTAGCATCTTTTTTAGCATTTTTCAAATGTTTTTTTTTGCCACTTTTTAGCACATTTTAGGATTTTTTATACATATTCTTGTGTACCAATTTTAATTGTTCTTCTGTAAAAATATGGTTAAAAATTAATTATTAATTATGTACAACATAAAAATTAATGTTTACATAAAAATTAATGTTTATCTGTAGAAATATCGGTTCGTATTTGATGAGCTTAAGTTACATTTTAAAAGGGCCACTTCCTATGGAACAAAGCTAAACTAACAACTTATATTCAATATACATTTCCAAAAATTTTTTTAATTGTAATATTCTTTACAAGGGATTTCATTTGTATCTTCCCTTTAGACTTTTAATTAGAAATATCATTATAATTGTAAACACTATTTCAAAAATATTCACATATTGCGTTGCGCATCAACAAACTCGTTCAATGGAACGTTTCTGGAACTAGTTCTTTAATCAATGATATAAGTTCGAGTTTGCTATCCTCAGATATAATTCTAGA